AAAATGTTATATTACAAAAAGAAAGAAAGAAAGGACGAGGGGTACCCTGAGAGAAGTGTCTGGGACGAACCCTCGTGGTGACACCACACAGGGCCTTGTCAGCCTGCTGAAGAGCTTGGACATCAAGGAGTGCAGAGCTAAGTGCTGTTGACTGGACTCTGACTCCTGGTCCCACGTGTGTCGGGGCAGAGCTGAGCTCCGTCGCGTTTCTAGGGGCTGATTTCTGGTGGCAGAGCACCAGACCTTTCTTCAGAGGGCCTCTCGGTGGACACAAACCCCTGCCTTCAGTTCACAGCTGAGAGAGTTAGCACCACCCGGGAGGCAGTACAGGGACGGAGGTACCCATGTGCTAAGTGAAGGGGTATCGTGAATGCCGTGGCAAATGCGATGGAATCCCACTGTAATGAAAAAGAGGATGCAACTCCCAAAATCTGGACCCCAGAAATCTGAGTTAACCGTTTGACGGTCGCTCTTGAAACTGAGCTTCAGGAGGTTTCCTGGTATGAGGTCAGAGAGTAAATGAACTTCCCAGGAAAGACGGAAGTGTTGAGCCTGAGAAAAGGGTGAATTAAACGCTCTTGTTTTTCCTTCCTTCCTGCTCCAGAAGAAGCCAGCAGAGGCCAGCTTCTTTCCATACAGATTTTAAGGCAAAGAATAAAAGTCCTTTCTTTTGAAGAAAACGAAACAAAACACAGCTTTATTAGCAAGTTACATAGAGTACGCTGCACACATTTAAAGTGTCCAGATGGGTACATTCGACCTGTAAGTAATTCCTGTGAAATCATCTCTACAACGGGTAATGGATGTGTCCATCATTTCTAGAAGTTTCCTTTGTAATCTTCCCTCCTCCCCACCCCTGTCCCCAGGAAACTGCCGATCAGCTCACCGTGACTAGAGATGATTTGGCCTTTTCTGGTAGCTTATGGAATCATGAAACGTGTCCTGTGTATTTTTTGGTCTTTCATTTGCAGACACGTTTTGAGATTCATGCATGTGATTCTGTCAACAGCTGATGCCTTTTTCTTTGCTGAGTAGGACTCCACGGTAGGGCTCTGCTGCAGTTTGTTTATGCTTTCACCTACTGATGAGCTTTGGGGTCATTTAAGAATCTGCCAAACTTTCTCTGAGTTGATTGTACTATTTCATACTCCCCCTCAAAGTAGATGAGAGTTCCAGGCGCTCCACATCCTTATCAACACTTGATGGGGTCTGTCTTTTGTATTTTAGCCGTTCCAGCGGGTGTATTCATCACTTGTCTGTCAGTTTGTCAAACTGAGGTGGCTGCGTGCACTGTGAGGTTGCAGGTTATGTCACCACTATTTTTAATACCAGCAGGGTCCCCCATGGTGGGCAGGTTTCAGCGGCACTTCTGGACTAAGACGGGAAAAAGACAGGGCCATCAGCTTCTGAAAAAATTGGCCAGAGAAAACCTTATGAATAGCAGTGAAACACTGTCTGATACGTCACTGGAAAGCTTTCTGAACAGCCCTGAAACATTATCTGATATAGAGCCAAGAGATGAGCCTCTCAGGTTGGAGGACACTCAAAATATGACTGGGGAAGAGCCGCCTCCTCCAAGTACTTGTTGTTGTTATGTGCCGTTGAGCCGGCCCCAACTCATAGCAACCCCTCCTTGGGTTTCCGAGGCAGTATCACTACGGAAGTAGGATTGCCCAACCTTCCTTCCGAGGAGTGGCTGGTA